CAGTTGTAAAATAGTAAAGAAAGGATCAATATTCTTATCCAGTCCAAATATTCTCACCGAATCCAAACATGCTGTTTACGATGTGCTAATTGAAGCTTTTGTTCTTCGGTTGTCAGCAGCTAATGGCCGGCCGCAGAGGTGTGGCCAGTCTTTCCCCTACTAGTTTACAGGGCTTTCCTTGGATCGAATGGAGAGACCACCATCTCTCCGTGATCAACAAGGCACCCCTCCTTCTTCATCGCCTCTTTGGGGCGACTTTAGGTCCTTTTCAGGGCCCCTAGAAGGGCAAAATCGGGCACAGAAGGCAGAGCTCTGCCTTCCTGTATCCCATCTTACTAAGACGCAAAACTGGAAGTCTGGTCAAGCACTTTTTGATAAAGTTGTGCCAGTATCCATTTTGTTGGAAGATATTGGTATAAGCAGTCTGTTTCCTTTTCCTGGTGTTCTGGGTTGCTGCAGTGCATTTGTACTTGTTTGAATAATGTTCTTATGCAGATCTTCTTTTGGGAGTCTGGGTTATTACTTGGTTAGCAATGTATTCTCTTCTATTGGAGTTGGGACATAGAATTGGGAGCTTTAATTTGGATTCCTACTCTGAGAGGTGGTTAGATATGTTGGCCTAAGTGGACCTTCCAGCTATATTAATATACATATTTAAATAAAATAAATAAACTATATGAATCTTGAATTTCCTAGCTTTCTGTGGCGAAAGCTGCTTTGCAATTCCTGGTGACCTAATTAAATCAGCCACAAGCAATTCTACAATCTTTGAGCCATATTATTAAATTAGAAATATTATGAATTTCCCTTTACATTCCATTATGCAATAAGAAAGTAGGTTTATACTTGGAGTTTTGCACAAAGTAAAGATTTGGTTTGTTTTGAGTTCAGAACAAAGCAGCTTACATAGAGTGGTCCATTGGAACCTTCAATTTGGTTGTGCTTTGATGGAACAAAAAACAAAACATAGTGAACTTCCTCCACATAATAGAACTTGAAATGTTCCAAGTATTCTGTCCATAGAAAATAATGAGAATTCAGTGGGAATTAGCACTCTCTCCCTCTCTCTCTCTCTCTCCCCTTTCATCTCAAGGTCACAGTAGTAAGAATACTAGTAGATCATGCTGATTACTACTGACCATCCAACTTGCAGAAGGATTGGTGAAAGAGAGTTGATTAAAATACATTGAAAAGAATACTTTGAGTAGCCAATACTGCTCTCACTCAGAAATGCTGCATCAAGCATATAGGACAGGGGTGTCAAACTACCAGCCCACGGGCCAGATGCATCATAGCGAAACCACGCCTACCCGATTGTTGGCAATGACAAAAAAGTCATGATAGTCACCACACATCATGTGATGTTGCGAGTTTGACACCCCTGATATAGGACAATCAACTCATCAGTTTTTTTTTTCAATTAGCTGATAGTTTACAACTCCCAGGTACACTAACTGCTGCTACTGCTGTGATAGATGTCTTTAAATGTTTTGAAAAGTATACATTTTGTAAGCTACAAAATGGAAACTGGCGTTGCATGAGTAGCATTCAGCAATATTACCACAGCAAAACAAAAGAAACATGTAACTGCTACTACTACTCTGCAAATAATTCCAACATTTAATTAAATCTACTAGCAGATTATCGGTAAAGCACACAGGGCCAGGCTAATTGTAGGACTATCTATTTTTATTATTTCCATGCATCCTGCATGTTCTGACAGGTTTGCCATGCTCCAGGTCTCACTGCTTGAGCATTGCCCTCTGTCAGGAGGAGTTAGGAGATAGGATTTCTCTACTGCTGTTCCTACCTTTGTAACAGCCTGAAATCCAGCCGACTCTGACCCCGTCTGTTTCTTGGGAAGGCATTAAGGCCTGTTTTTTTTCTTCAGCATTTGGCTTGGGCATGGAATGACCATTGGATCGTTTTTTTTTTGGCACTTTAGGTGTTATATAGTATTTTCTGCCTTTGTCTATGTTTTTATGCCTTCATTTATTATATGTTTTAATTAAATTATTATAGTTAAATGTATAATTATGTACATTGTACTGAATTATGTGGTGAATGGGTGACGATATACATTGATTACATAAATAAATAAAACACATAAGTCAGTACTCTTCCTATAAAGTAGCAACAAAATTCACACAAATAGCTTTTTGGTTTGTTAAATACATCCTGAGATAAACATTAGCATGGCACAGGAGGATACAGCATTCATACACAATACAGTAACCGGCAGGCTTCCTTCAACAGCAAGGTCAAAAGTTCAAGACTGCCTGTCCAGAAACACAAAAGCTCAGATAAGTAGGTTTATTGTAGAAAAGCTTTAAAGCCATTATGAAATAGTTCCAGTGAGTACTGTGTATCAAATGTGAGTTCTATTTATAGTGAAAACAATATTCTCTTTCTCCTGCCTGTGCAGGGCAAACAGCTAGAAGCTACTCTCTTCCATTAATTTTGTTTTAGGCTTTGCATTATTACCAGGCTGTTTGTACTGGATAATGTGAAAGCTTACTCTCACTCTAAAACATCAGCAAACCAACCCGGTTTCTTTTTTTCCCTTCACATTCTAACCATTATTTTGAAACTAAAATCCCAAAGCAGCCCACTTTTATTAACATGGGCTAAGAAAGTTGAGGATTTGCCCGGGGCAACCAAACATAAATAAGCTAATTACTCTCCATTATTCTAATTTCTGTCTATTGAGGAGGTGGTAGAGTTTTTGGAAAAAACAATGGTAGCCTCACAGATAACACAGACATTCCTAATGTCCACAATGCTATTGGAGAGTCTTTCCCCATTACTGAGTTGGCGCAGTCCATATTTGCATACCTCACTGCTGATCCTTAACCTGCCTCTAGTCTATTGCCTCTGTTTCAGGTCACTGTATTTCCTTACTTCTTTTCAAAATAATGGGTAGCAAAGCCCAATAGTATACTAACCTTGGAAACAGAATAAGGGGAACATACTTTTTTATTTTTAATATTGATATAGCTAAGGGCATCTTAAGCTTGTAACAGTCAAGGTCTAGGATCCAGATGAAAGCAATGTCATGTGGGCTTGAGAGAATTTTTTTTTTTTTTTTGGCTAGGGCATGTTTCTGCTCTGCTTAGGTAGGTAGAAGTTGGGAAGGCCCCCGAGAGATCAAATCTTTCTTTCAACTCAAATTAGTCACCTTTGCTCTTGGCATCTGTTACCTACCATGTTTGAATCATTTTGCTTAGATCCCCAATAGCAGCTTCACCTGCTATTTGAAGTTGAGGATTAATCTTTGCAGATATAAAGAAGAGGAGGAAGCAGGAGCAGAACCGTCAGTTAAATTGTTTGCTAGTCCAGATTGTGAAGTATTTATTGCTTATTATAGTGTGTGGGGGGTGAACCTCTTTCCCCTGGTTGTAATGTCAGCTTAGTGAATGTCAAGCAGATGTCCATGAGTGTCTACCTTATAAACAGAATAGCAAATAAAAGACAGAATAAATATGAACATGTGCATGCTCATGCACAAACACTGATAATGTCATGATTATAGAGTCAATTTTCCTTGCCAATTATAGCACTTTCACTTGTCCTAATTATGTCAATCATTTATCTTAAGCTTCTCAAGTGTCTTGATCAGGAGGTTTTTGTGCCTGTGGCTGTTGGTGAAATAGATGGCCACCTTACTTCTCTGTCTCAGTCAAGGCAATGTCCTATCTGTCTGGTGGATGCCTCTCTTCTTAAGATTAGTCTTCCTAACAATGATCTGTGTATAGTTTAGTAGGGATGCGCAACAGATTTGTCTGAAGGACTTGCAGAAAGGAGAGTTACAATCATGTACCCACATGCTCTGGGGTATTTTTTTGGTTTCGTATCTGAAGGGCTGCACAGAATTATCAATATTCCACAAATATATTAACTGTCATAAGCCTACACACGCGTGTGTTCAAACTTTTCTCTGTAGAAGATTGATAGCATATATTTTTAAAAATTTGCATATGAGAAGCAAATATTTACCCAATGAAGTTTTCCCAATGTGTAAATCCCATGAAAATAAGCTTGTGATTCAGCAAAAATGTAAATAACTTTGCAGGACTGGGATGAATAATCAAGCAGGCTTTGTAGAGGCCTTTTTCCCAAGCAAGAAGTCAGTTAAGATGCTTTGCATGGCATCAGTCCAGCATATGTATTGGTAGTTTTAGAGGAATTATTGTTTGTTAACTCTTTTATGTGTAATACTTTCATTAATTGATCGACCATCTTTTAGTAGTAAACTGTCAATGTTGCATTGAGAGAATACTGAAATACAAGATTATGTTAGGGTTAGAGTTAAATGAAAGCAAATGCAAAAGTATGTAAATGATATAGAAGAAAAACTAAACTTTTCAGGGACACACATAAATAAACATTTTGTATTGTTACAAGTATTTTTGTACTGCCAAGATTAAATGATACTGGACAGTTTATGGGGTAGGGTGGGGGTAGAGGAGTGGGGTGAAGGAGTGGGGAAGGGATTGTAGATGTTTCAAAATTAACACTATTCTCTTTTTTACAAATGATGTCTTTTGAAACGAGATGGTCTTAAAGACCTGCAAAAAAGCTAAGAGCCAAACAGAACTCCCAAATGAAGAAAATCCCAAATTGGTGCTATCACTAAGAAATAAATAAATTAAATAGTAGGATGCAAAAATACGTTTTTCTAGGAGATCTTAATGAATAAGCAGGTTCCTGTGGAAGCAGCTTCTTCTAGTAGTCTGAACCCTAGTGATTTTTGGAGAATCCCCGATGCTTTATTTAAAATGCATACTTCCTTCATCTGACATTTAAGTGTTAAGTTTTCTCCTCATGTTATAGCAGTGTGGAGCAGGACAGGAAATGAGTGACCTCTTTTTCTACATCATGCTGAAATTATGAACCATGTACTTTCTTGCTATTCATGGTTGAATTTCTCATTAGCTAGAGCTAATAACCATAGATTGCCATATCTATTGCAAATTCTAATTAGGATTAATCTTCTTCAGCAGATGGCAAGAGTTATTTGAGGTTGCAAAGCAGTGCAAGAAGAGAAGGACAACATGCTCGGCTGATCAGTCCCACTGTCTTCTTGCCCAGGAGTGCTGTGTGCTTGATGTTTTGGTACCAGCTCTCTGGAGGGAGTGGGACTATGTTGCAGGTACGGCGGGAGGCAACGCATGAGAACAAACCACTGTGGAGCATCAGGGAAGACCAAGGAGAGGAGTGGAGGGAAGGCCGGATTCTTCTACCTAGTTATGATACAGAATATCAGGTAAGCATGTTAAAGTGTGGATTGAGACTGAGCATCGCTACACATTCATCTCCCAGATTTCAAGAGACCATGTTTGTTCATCGTTAAAAAAAGAAAACATCGTTCATAAGAGCTTTCCCTCTTTCATTTTGTTTCCCATGTTGCTATAGTGACTGAATAACAGTGTATTTGCTACTTCGATTTTGCCTATTTTATACATAGCTTAGCTTTGGGTTTATTTTGTTGTCATTTACATCCTTAAAAGATTCTCTTTTGCTAGATGTGGACTGCAAAAATCAAGATCACTGGCAGAAGGCAATAAAAAGTAGAGTTTCCATTGAGGCCATTGAGTTGTTTGCAACTCAACTCTGGTAGCTCTACCTTTTGCGACTGTTTTTTCCTCCTCTATTTTCTCTTGGATGAAGAACATGTAGCTTGTGAAGCAAACATGTAAGAAATAAATGTGAGTGCATAGTGGAGGCAGCAGGAATTTAAGAGTTTGCCTAGACTGTTGGTGCGATAATTGTTTAAGAGCCTGGAGTCCACACTGGAGAAACACCGAAAGAAATTGCACATCTACTTGTAGGGAGAAGGGAGCGATTATGACAAGAGCTCCAAAGTAGACCACGTGTTTTCAGACACTTTAATCAATAGAGGGCAGCTGTATGTAAATTCTGAATAGATCACAGGAATGGGTCAAAAAAGTCAAAATGGCAGTCAAAACATTTGATCAATGACCCACTCCTTTTTGACATGCATCATGTAGTCATGGCCAATATGCTGGCTTCTTTAACAGCACCATGCAGATGCCCTTGGAATAGGTAGGTGCAGTAGGCAGGCAGGTAGGCAGATAAATAAAAAAATAAATGCCTTAGAAGAGCAAGTGATTCTCAACCTTTTCTTCATCACAGACCCCTGTTAAATACCTTTTGTGGCCACGGACCATGGCCACAGACCACCAAGACTTAACTCAAGATTTAAAGCAATAGGCTGCATCAAGCCTTCATGGACCCCCTTATGACCACATCGCAGCCGCCCCCCAGGGGTCCACACAGTGGTGGGATTCAAATATGTGAACAACTGGTTCTCTGTGTGGATGCCGCTTCCGGAAGTCTATTCTGGACCTGGGCAACAAAAAATTAGCTAACGGTTCTGCCGAAGTGGTGCAAAGCGGCTGAATCCCACCACTGGGTCCACAGACCACAGGTTGGGAATCACTGCCTTAGAGTAAGTTTCTGACTCCCTGAAGCTTTTTGACAAGGCCTTTTGAAGTTTGCCCTTGCCTTCTTCCTAGGGCTGAGAGAAAGGGACTGGCCCTGCTGGCTTCATGCCTAAAACAGAACGAGGGCACACATGGTCTCCCAGTTTCTAGCTTGATGCCTTAATCAATGTTGCATTCCAGCATTGAAACTTACCCCAATTGCTTGTTGGAGGAAGAATCCTAGTTATTATGAAAGGTTGCATTTTAAACTGAAATTGTTTTTTACAGATTGTCCTTGACTTACAACCATTCATTTAGCAACTGTTTAAAGTTACGATGGCACTGAAAAAAGTTATTTATGACTGGTCCTCACATGTACAACCATTGCAGCATCCCTACAGGCACATAATCAAAATTTGGATGCTTGGCAAACAAAATATATTTATGACACTTACGGCAAAGGGTCATGTGATCACCATTTGCAACATTCCTATTTGGCTTCTGACAAGCAAAGTCAATAGAGGAAGCCACATTCACTTAGTGACTACGTGATTCATTTAACAATTGCAGTGATCTGCTTAACACCGTGGCAAAAAAAAATTGGGCATGACTTATTTAACACCTGTATTGCGTAATAATGGAAATTCTACTCTGGTTGTGATTGTAAGTCGAGGACTATCTGTGCTATTTAACCACCAAGTTCCCTCCCTCTGAAAACTTCTACTATTTTTGCTTTGTAGGATGTTTTAAATTCTTTGTTAGAGATTAATAGTCTAACCTTGACAGATATGCAGTAGCGCCCAGGATTTCTTAGGAAGAGAAATGATAATTAAAGCAGTTTAAATTTGCTATGAACATGAGGTCAAAAACTTCTATTTGCTGCTGCTTGCAACAATTCAGAAGCCTTCCCAGCCCACTCTATTGCTTTTCACTAATCAATGTTCTGTTTCCCTTCACCACACTGAAGCATTTTGGCAAAAATGCTAGTCTCAGTTTTAAAATAAAGTGTGGAGATTAAACCTGACAGGCATATTTGCCTATATTGCAAAATTAGCTGGAATACAGAATGAAGTTCTTTGTTTGCTTGCTAGGTTTTCTTTCTTCTCCTTGTATTTTCTTGTACCAAAATTTAGCATGGGGTTCAAACAACTCATTCCCAGTCAGTAAGAAAACAGTACTTGGATATGGTCCAGAGTCCAGGTAATTTGGGGTCTTTTTGGGCAATTGGAAGTTCCTGCTTCTTTGCTAAAATCCCACCATGAGTCTTATCACTGCACCAACATCACAATCCCAATCCTGTGCTACTTTATTGGAAGATTAATCAAGCTGGACCTTAGAGGGGAGCCAAGATGGAGAGCCAGGATGAAAACAAATTATGTTTTCTGGTGTTTGCCTACCTGGTATATATTTGAGGCTTATGCTCAAGTTCTGTAGTTCCAAATTAACAACTGAAATTTATTTGTTGATTTGTTGAATGCCATTTATCCACTATTCAGATCTGCTGGACTCTAGGCAGTTTGCAGATATTAAACTGTAAATGAATAAATAATACATGATATGAAATTGTTAAAACTACAGTAATTTTAGAATCAAATACAAGATTATGTTAGGGAAATAATGTAAAATTTAGTTAAGGCACTGATTAAAGGCACTAAATTTCTGTAGGGTGTCAAAAGCTGGAGAAAGGAGAGGAGAGATAGAATGGGTTAGGAGAATCTGAAGATTGCTGAGCCTCTGGCTTGATCAAGAAGAATGGTGGGCAGCCAATATTTATTTCCATTCCAAGTAACTTTTAAAGTAAAAGAAAAAAAAAATCCCCAGCTATTTAACTTTTGGGGAGTTAGTATAATGGACACATTTCTAGGATTCTTTTGAGCTTTACCACCTTTTTTGTCAGTTGGAAATGTCTAAATACTAAGAGAATCTGATAACTTTAATCCCTTTCTTTGACATATGCAAGGGCTGTTTGTGGATTTATTTTTCTGTCTTTATTCACTCCTAGATTGTATTTGAAGGCGCCATAAGCAACGGGCATTCAGGAGACATTGCCATTGATGATGTCCGAATAGGCACTGATACTTCTTTGGAGAACTGCATGGGTATGTAAGGATAAATCTAATCTGTAATAAGAAGCAAAAACGCGTCTGCAAACAATAGAATTGGCAAGTTGAAAGAGGGAGAACTCTTATTTCTGATGCAATTCTCCTTGCCCCACATAACAAGTGCTGAACTATAAAGGGTATGAAGCCATCCATCTGAACCATAGCACTTCTGCAGTGATGATACTGTATACATTGTAGGGCTCCCCCCCACACACACACATACACACCTTATAGTTCACTTCACACAAAAATAGTAGTATTTGTGGGCTGCTTACAGTTGCATCTCTCTGATGACTGTTCAGATGGCAAATTGATCATGTGCATACAAATTAGCCATTGATACTCACTTTTCACTGTTATAACAAATGCTAGCTGGAGTATATGTAGAAATAGGAAGTGAGTATTTTAACTTAGTACAGATCCAATTCCAAGTGGCCTTCTTAGGGTGCCTATTTCATGAGAAGCAGCCTTCCTATAGTTCCTAAGCCATGGATTCAATCTACCAATTAACCCCAAAGCAAACCAGTTGATCTTGGCTTTCAGTAGGGATGTAGAAGCATTGGCTGTGGCTTTGCTGAGTGCCATCTCCATTTGTTTTTCCCTGAAGAAAAATTGCTCAGGCCTAGTTTACAAAAACTCTGAACTGAATAAGATGGGTAAAAAAATAAATGCATCCTCTCATATGGACAGAATGTCTTGCTCATATAATCAGTGTATTAGAGGTAAGGCTAGGGTTGAATAACTCCTTTCTGAAGGCTTTCTTTATTAAAATTTTCTGAATGACAGGAAGTTTTCATTTTCATTTTTTATTGTTTGCTTTAATGTTAAGAATCCCATGATCCTTTCCAACAGTGTGAAATAGGCCAGAAACAATCAGAAGGCCAATTGTTGTGCACAAAGGTGGTTGTGGAATGATGGCCCCGTGTAGGACAGCCTGTATCCTCCCCCCCCCCCCCCGGCAATATGCATATTATTACTAAACTCCAGAAAGAGACTAGCAAGGAGCAGTGGGGCAAAATTAATAGGAATGGGTTACCCTCCAGCAAATAGCATCTTGGTTCAATAGCTGTTATGTGCAAATGATTCTTTTACAGTTGTGGCCAAGAGATCACATAGCAATTATCTTTGCAGGCAATCTTATCTTAAGGTTGTTAAGCAGACAGAACCCTGGCAGCATTAAAGCAAGCCTCACCGATTCATTTAGCCTACTCTCTCCTTCTGGAGGAAGTCAGGGAGAAGGAATATCTGGGGAAAGCCCGTACTGATGGTTTTCCTATCAATACACTGAGAGATTAATGCATGCCTCTGCAATGGCATGGACTGCTTATAATAATAATTAGATTGTTACCAAAGAAAAATATCCAGGAGCCAAAATTAGTCACCAGTCAGCACTATATACTGTACATAGAAAGGGCTGAGGAGATCAATAGAAATCCTTGTTAATAGGAAATAATCACCAGAAAAGGGTGGTGACATGAGAAATCACATTCACAAAAAATTATAATATTGTTAACTCCTAAAAATGTGCCAGTTATTCTGCTATCATGGGCACCTGAACGGAGGCAATAATGGCTGGTGCATTAATGATGCCATCACACAAATATTTGTACCAGATATCAGTGCCCAAATACTAATGACAGCAAATACAAATAACAGAATTTATGGTAAGACATTCCATTTATGTTGCCATCTTTGGTATGATTGTGACTTGTGCTATCAACCACTGAAGTAAGACAATATTGGAGTACCTTAGGAGGGGCGGGTCCTTTCTTTGGCATCATCAATTGAAGAAAGGCTGTCTTATCTTGGCTGCAAAACTCCAACCAACCAGTAGATGGCAGCAATGTTCATTTTGTGTGGGTTCTTTTTTTTTTTTGGCTGCTGGCAAATGGTTGTTTGGAGGTTTGCAGCCCAGATTTGGTAGCTGTAGTTGAAGTCCTGGGAAAGACACTGTCCTTGATAGCATAGACTGTAATAGCCAGCTGAATGACCTGTTACCTAAGCAAAAGGAGCTGAGAGATTTTAAAAGTCCAGAACAAGATAACATTCGGAAATGGTCAAGTAGATGCCTTCCTAATTCAGTCCCACTAGGTCACGGGTGTCAAATTCACCACGTCACATGACGTGTCGCGACATATCGCGACTCTTTTTGCATTGCTGGCAATAGGGTGGGCGCGGCTTCGGTATGATGAAACCGGCCCGCAGGCCAGCAGTTTGACACCCCTGCTAGGTAAACCAGATGAGAAAATCAATTCCACATGTAGCTAAAAAAAAAAAAGCAACCTTTCAGATCTTCAGTTGGATCCTGGTACCTTAACCAATACACAAAACTGGCTCACAATTGTATTCCTTGGGAGTTAAGTATTGCATGCAAGTAAATGTTTGTTACCATTGCAGGTAATGACTTAGAAATCTTCTACGCATTTATGTGCCAGGTGCAATTTCCATGTTTACAATAGTAATAAAAAAGAAAACCACATGTCCTTGCCAGCTTTTGGGAACCTGGTTCTGTAGAATTACTGACATGCTTGCTCCCCAGAGATTAGCATTGGACTGCTGTTCCCATAGCTGTTTGATTTGTTGAGTAATGTGGGGAGCTGCTCAAAGAAGTTCCACAAATTGCAGCATTTCTAAAGAAATAAAAGTAGTGGGAAGGCTTGAGATGAGGTCTTGGGTCTGAGATGATGAGTGTTTAATCCTTTTCTTTGCACCATTCTTAATTGTAACATGTCCCAACTAATACAACTAATACTCCCATTCGTCTCAGGGTTTTTCCTCTCATAATAATTTTTAAAGTCAATATCTAGTAAAAAAAAAAAAAAAGCCAAGCTCAAATGTTTGACTGATGTTTCTGCTAAATCATTTAGTATTTAAAGCATACGTGTGCATGCATAATCACACACAGAGACACCCCACAGAACTGTAAAAAGGAACTGACAAGATTCTGCTTTAAAATTGTAAATCCAGAGACGTAATCAAATTCCTTTTCAACTTGAGGAAAGAATCTAATAGCTCACAATATTACTGTTTTTCTTTTTCAGAGACCTGTCACTTTCTTTTTTAGACTGGCTGGCTATTTCATAGCACTCCATTGAAACCATAGTTAAACCAAGGGACTCCATTTCCAAATGTAATACAAAAGTAATCTAAAAATAATAATAAAAAAGCCCTTTTCTTTATTCATTGGGAAAATAATCAGTGAAACACATTGGTTGTTTCTGCCCACTTTCTCCTCCCCAGGGACTAGCAACGTATTATTTTTGCTAAGTATCTGTTTCTGTTTCAGAAATTGTGAATTTCTTTCAGACTATGGAATCCTATAGGGGAGAACTAAAAAAAAGAATGGATGAGGCTGAGGAAAGGTCAGATGGAGGGAACTGCAGATCCTCCTCCCCTTTTAAACTTGTCAAACCTACTGTCTATATCTGTAAGCTAAATTCAATCCATATATGATGGATTTGGAGCCAAACAATTGTATTTATTGTTGCAAATGTTTTGAAAATTGTTTGCATTTGCTGTTTGCTACCCAGAATCACTATAGTGAGATGGGTGGCCTTGAGTGATTAAAGCGATTAAAAAAACCCTGCATATATCTTTAACTTTAATATCTTTAACCATCTTAAGTTATAATTAGGATCCCCATTTGAACCTTCATAAACAGACATTGCCATACATACCAGTAATAGATTGTGCTTTAGAAACCACTTCCTGATACCCATTATAAATGACATCTTAAGTTTCTTTCCAAGGTGTCTATCTTTAGGATAGAATAGAATAGAATGGAATAGAAGAGAAGAGAAGAGAAAAGAGAAGAGAAGAGAAGAGAAGAGAAGAGAAGTTGGAAGGGACCTTGGAGGTCGTCTAGTCCAACCCCCTGTTTAGGCAGGAAACCCTATACCATTTCAGACAAATGGTTGTCCAATGTTTTCTTTAAAACTTCCAGTGATGGAGCATTCATAACTTCGGGAGGCAAGTTGTTCCACTGATTAATTGTTCTAACTGTCAGGAAATTTCTCCTTAGTTCTAGGTTGCTTCTCTCCTTGATTAGTTTCCACCCGTTGCTTCTTGTCCTGCCTTCAGGTGCTTTGGAGAATAGCTTAATTCCCTCTTCTTTATGGCAGCCCCTGAGATATTGAACACTGCTATCATGTCCCCCCTTGTCCTTCTCTTCGTTAAACTAGACATACCCAATTCTAGCAACCATTCCTTATATGTTTTAGCCTCCAGTCCCCTAATCATCTTTGTTGCTCTTCTCTGCACTCTTTCTAGAGTCTCAACATCTTTTTTACATCATGATGAGCAAAGTGTGGCCCTTCCTTCCTTCCTTCTCTCCCTTCCTCCTTCCTTCCTTCCTTCCTTCCTTCCTTCCTTCCTTCCTTCCTTCCTTCCTTTCTCTTTCTATCTTTCTTTCTTTCTCTTTTTCTTTCCTTTTCTTTAGGGGGAAGCTTTCCAATATATGTGAAACCTCTCATCATATCCTTCCTTCTTACATCCAACTTAGTCTTAATCTTTAACATTAATCCTATGTAATGTCTCCTGCTTACCACTCCAGTAATTTTATTCCCTCATTTTTAAAACCTGAAGGAATCACTTACCTGCAGTTTCCAAAACAAAAGAGATGCATGGAGAGAGGAAGACAGATTTCCTTTGCTTCCCTGCCTATGGCTTGTGTTATTCCTCAAAACAGGCACAACACCATGGTCATTTAGCATGTAGTGTGTTATAGGAGTTATTACAAATGTTCACCATCTCAAATGGGACCAAGTTCTGAATCAATGTAGCATGTTAATCTTTAGTGTACGGCAGGGGTATCAAACTGCCAGCCCACGGGCCAGATGCATCATGGCGAAACCACGCTCACCCCATTGCCGGCAATGGAAAAAAAGTCGCGATATGTCACGACACATCACGTGACATTGCGAGTTTGACACCCCTGGTGTGTGGGCAACTCTTGAGGAGCCCATGGGGTTAATCCATTTTATCTTTCAACCAACCTGTGAGTTGGAAGAGGATGAGAGAGGTAGGCAGTCTCTCAGATACTTTGTGTGCTTTGCAATCAACACTGTTTCAGTCCTTTAGTTTATCAGTTTTGTTATCACCTGGCATTCTATCACCTGGGCCAAAAATTAAAAGAAAATACAATTGCAATTGTGTTTCTACTGCTAGAACACATCCTATTATAATAGGTCTAGTGGAAAGCCTGCTATCACAAAAACATTTTTAGAGAGTTATCCTTAGTGAATACAGAAGATCCTACCCCACCCCCTAAAAAAAGGATAAAGGATTGGCTATCACTTGTACAAATTGAAAAAAGAGGTTCTTCAAGATTAGAGGTTTCAAGATACTCCCTGTGATCATATGGGTTACTATCTTCAGGATCTATAATTTGCTAACTCACTTTCAGCTCTTCTTTTTATTTACAGAACCCATTGCAGCTTTCCCTGGAGAACACACGTTTGAAATTTCAGGTAAAAATGCACTTCTTCTTCTTGCCTTTTTTTTTTTTACTGCATGGTTTATTTTCTGATTTTTTTTAATACTTAAAATTGAATGTGTGTGCAGAAAGTGAGATGCAACCAAACAAAACTAACACAAAGTTGCTATGCAAATAAAAAGTTTTTAAGTATGATAGCTTCTAAGTGAGAGGATTTAAAAAGAGTATAACATTTTACCCAATAAAATGCAGAATTAATTCTAAAAATTACCTTGGGCCAGTTTCAGTTTTAAGAAGGCTTGCAGAATGTTTTTAAAGTTGTACAGATCTGCTGGCTAGTATGTATTAGCACCCTAATGAATCATTTTCCGAGTGAGATGGGTAGTTTGTAAATTCAATAAATAAAAATAATGGGTGTGTGTCCTCCTGTCTGTATGTCATCCTCACCTCATGTTAGCTGGAATATCTCTTTGGGGGGGAAGAGCAAGCATGCTTTTACTTGGATAAGATCCTCCGAAGTTCAACCTGCACTTTGCAGCTTACTGCTTTATCTTTTTGTAAAAATAGAGCTCTCGCTCTCTTTAACAATTCTGCCTAAGTTCAGCACATTAGAGGAGCAAATGCTTCTTCCACTGAATTTCTCTCTTTCATACACTTAAAAGGTAACAGCCTGTACAGGGTGCAGATCTTGCACTAGTTATTTGGAAGATGGTCACATAGGTATCTTTGTTAAGAGGAATGGGAGTTGAGGCATATTTTCTGTCTTCTATCTATGGTTCAGAAGTGATGACAACAAGACCTGTTTAACTATGTTGGGTAGCTTGAAAATTGAAAATCTTCTATGAATACTGCTTCGAAAAGGATATCTAATACTGTAGTTATGGGTAGCTCAAGGCTATATGTCACTCTGAAATCTTCCCAAACCCAGGGACTCTACCAACAACATTTGATAGCAAACCGTCAAGTTGCAGGAGCTCAGTTTCCTGCCAGTAAGTGAAAAAAAAAGGTTTCGAGTAGATTTTTCACGCTTAAAAAAAAAAAATTAAAGGGGGAGGGAAGCTGGTAGCTGATGGCTGCAGAAATCCAGATGACCATTAAAGGACAGCAGAGTTAAAAAAATTGTATCTCTTTGCTCCCAACTAGTAGCCGTATAGATTTTTACAGCCCGGATATGGTAATCCTACACTAGCCACTAGTAAACATGGATAAAATTAAAGATGGTCATTTTAAAGTTGCCCAGACCTGAATTGTAAGAGTGCTAGAGCTGCATTGCAGAGCTACTAGTACAGAAGTTACATCTAGCTGCATTAGGAATCTGACCATCTAATAATAGAGATCAGAAAGATGCAAATGAACTCCTCTCTGTCTGCAACACCAAGTAAGGAGCAGTGAAGCTTTAAGATATAAGAGGGGGGGGGGAGAATAAATGGCCACCACAGAGAGGCTTAACCTCCAAATCAGAGTGAATTAGAAGTGCAGTGAGGTGGCAGTGATGAATATTTAGCATTTTAGCCAACAAGTGCCAAGGCAGGGACCATAGCTGGTGGGGAGGAGGGAACTGGAGTAGAAAAACATGTCACACTGAGTTTGAAGGCTGACATTTAGTCAGAGAGAAGAAGGGTGAAATGGTGCATTTAAGAGCTTAATGCTGGCCTAAAGAAAAGAAAATGGGATAGCTTAGATTGATAAAACTTGTAGAAGGAAGCAAAAGGGGAAAGGAATGCAGGGAGATTGTCCTGCTCGTTAAACTTGATTCTGAATCAGTGGAGATGTACTGTTGTGTGTCTGTCGGGAAGGGTGGGGGGTGTGGGGGGAGGAAACCAAACATTTCTTTTTTAATCTGGGGAATTTTTTTATTTTGTTTTGTTTCACAGGGCTTTTTGCCTTTCTCCTGTCAAATGCAAACCTCTAGTGTGGCCAAAAGGAAGGAGAATTCGTTTCCAAAAGCTTTCAGTGTAGATTAAATCATTTTTGTTGCATTGATTAATGGATAGATAGTCCTTCCTTGAGCAATTTCAGGCTATTGGCAACATATTGCCAGACATTGCTGGCTGTGACTTCCAGAAGAGATGTATTTTGAGTAGTTGGGAGAAGCTGGCTTGGTTCTGAAAAATAGCATGGAGAGTCCTTGTGCATTAAGATTTAGAGCCTAGTAGAAATTCTGCTATAGCCAAGGATGAAAGGTATACTGACCTTCAAAACTTTTTATTTAGGTCTTAAGTTAAAGAAGAGATTTTTTTAAAAAAGCAATTTTGGCATGGTTGTTGCAATGCTCAGGATTTTGTTGGCTTATTTATTATTTTCCCAATGGAAAGTGGTCTAATAGTTTAATCTCAAATTTTGTTTTAAAAATAGTTTAATCTCAAATTGTGACTGTTGCAAAGATGCTATATAGATGCTGCAAGGCAAAATGAAATGACATGATCCATCGACATGTTTATTGATTGGTGAGAGATAACTACAAAAGGTTGCATATATGTAGCACAGCATTTATTAGCCTTTTAAAATTTGCTATTAAAGCCTTATTATGTGGAATGGACAAGGGATATTGGTAACATTTTGGCTCAGACCACTCCATATTTTATTAGAAAGATTTGGTATTGTGCTATGTTTGAAACAGGACTGATTTAAAAGTCTTTTGGAGTGGAACTTCTTATCTATCTTGGTTTAGAACAGTGATGGCGAACCTTTTAGAGACCGAGTGCCCAAACTGCAATCCAAAACCCACTTATGCATCGTCGGGTGCTGGGTGCATGTGGCCCATTGGGTGAGTGTAGCCCATTGGGTGGGCGTGGCTGCAGTGGTAACGGCAGACTGGGTGGGACTAAAATGTTCAATCAATCAATTCCAACTTTGCAAGTTGAAATTGACTGATTGATTAAACCTTTTTTTTTTTTTGTACATGGTGGTGGAGGCCTAAAACGAAAAAGTTTTATAAAACCCAGCTGAAGGCCTAGGACTGGGGCAACGGCGCGCGTGCCCACAGAGAGGGCTCTGAGTGCCGCCTCTGGCACCTGTGCCATAGGTTCGCCACCACTGGTTTAGAATGCCATGTGTCTGGCTAGAAATACAAACGTGTGATGAACTTTTGTTTTGAATACTTAAAGTAAAGGGGGAGAACGGTGTCTCCTATGCAGGAAAAATTGCTTTGCATTTCTCGAATGGGATACATTGGTGTCCAGAGCTATTGATAACTTCTCTTTCCAATTGGAGAAAAACTGAGACGAGGCCTGAGGTCTAACTCCAAGACTTCCCCCTTTTCTGGGAGAAGTCTGGACTGTGCTTCCCTGGGCTACAGGTGAGGATTCAGGCGGATAAATGCTTTTCTATGTAAACATTTATTCCACATTGCTTAACAGCTTGGATGTTATGAAGTAAAGTCCAACCCTATATTTTCCTTGATAACCTTAATTATCTGTGTGTGTGAACTTGCTTTATTTTGCCTTTTTAAATTTTTATGGAGAAATGCATAATCCCCACTTTCAAGCTGAATGATTGTCAGTCTGATTTCCAAATACTTATTGGATTCTCCAGATGTTTTGTGCAAAAACTCAGCCAAGTTAAAATTCCTAGCTATTCCGGAAAATGGGGGAGGCAGGGGGAACCTACCTCTATCTATGCTTAGTGAAAATAGTGCTGATCTAAAAATAATTTTGTTGAAAATATATACTGCAATTGCAATTGCAATCGTGAAGGACAGATGTTAGGAGAATAGCTGGACACAGTTTGCTTCATTCCTACATGAAGCCCCTGAATCCAAAAAGCAGAATGTTCTCTCCTTCAGCATCACAATCTGGATGTAGTCCCATGGAAGAAGATAGGAAGACTTTTACAGATTATCTCTCTTCTAGACAAATTGTTTCTCTTTTGAGAAAGGTTTTGCAAATCTTTTGAGAGACTGGAAAAGATTTCCCCTAATGTCTTTAAATTTGTCTGTGCAAGAGGAAGCAAAGCCACATACAAGCAAGCAAAGAGTTCCCTTCTCTCAGCCTTTCATATTCTATTCTTTTCTGCCAGATGTGCTACCAAGCTGAGCACAGGGAAAAACCAATGGGAAAAAAGTCTCAGTTTTCTAATTTCTCACACCACTGACACTATGAGTTTCCAAGTGGCAGCCTGGCATTTTCAGTTTATACATTGCTTAATAACAGATCTGTGTTTGCTCTTATATGTACACAAGAAGAGGCATGTATTTTCAAATACCTGCTCATCATATCTGTTTTTTGGCATATTTAGGTATATGCTTTAAATAGAAAAATATAAAGTGCCCATCTTGAAAATATAATATGTAAATAATTATATTCCATAGGAAACCTGCCAACAGCTTGAGCTACTTATATGGATGCTTCCTGTTTAACACTACAGATTTTCTAATTTTTTCTATTCCTTCCTGCCTACTGCTGCTAGAGTCCTACTTTCCTTTTAGGCTGAGAGAAAATACTCACCATCTTAAAGGATAGCATACAAGGAGGAACTGTTTTCTGCTGATACAGGGCAGCACTCTATCACCCCAAGCGCTGAGAAATGCTACTAGTAGTAATTCCCAAGCCTTCAGCTGTTCTATATGCTAGTCTTGCTATTTTACACCCTTGTGGTGAGGTCTTCTTAACCAAGTCTTCATATTATAACGGGGACTTGCTATTTTCAGTCATAATCCATTGGGTTTATTCCTATTCAAAATTGTAAGTGGCAGAATTAAAGGAAAACCATGGAGGAGGAGATTTTCCTTCTTTACTCAGGGTAGAATAGAATATGATGTTCCATAACATACTACAGTGTTTAGTTGAAAATAGCAGCAAGATAGTAGACTCAAACCTATTGTTTCAAATTAGCTCTATTAGAGAACAGAAAGTGATTGAAAGAAAAAACAGCAGCTTCAGATGTTCATAAACTATATTTATCCTTCGGTATATTACAGAAGATGGCTGGGGGCTTGATCCAATCTAAGAAGATCATGGCATTACCCCATTTTAAGAATATACATTTAACTTGAAGCATAATAAAAATACAAATGATACCATCCAAAGCAGCACT